AAAGGTAACTACTTCCGTTTATTGCTGTAACGAAAGTGTACTTTATCTGATTTCTGGTTCTGCTCGGTACAGTTTTCCTTTGCATGCCGGTCTTTCCTTTGTTCTTGCCTTCCTTTACGGCGATTCGGCTTAGAAGATTTATCTTAGGCTAGCAGTTATCAAAGGGTGCATTCCCTTGGCGTGATCTGGATCAGGATCAGTGATTCAAGATCACTCAGATCAACAGTGCTAAAACTGCTAAATTTTTCCTTTAATTTTCCAGACTAGGCTGAGCTTCAAGGGTTTATTCAACTCTGTGCCGTGTTTATCAACCTGAGCAGAAAGTCTTACTCCACGGCGGGCTGAAATCTACCAAACGGTTTGCCTCATCACAGAAGGACTTTCATTTCTGTGCAAGTCCGCATTGTTACCAGACTGCAGTTTCCTCACTGGACGTTACACAGGTTATAGATTCTCAGTACATTTTTTGTTACTTTTTGTTACTAAGCAAGCTAGCTAACTGAATCTCCAAGTTATACCCACCTTTCGTAATTAAAAGTAAGGAGACGTATGTTAATCATAGCACGGAGGTTCTTTGAGACATTTTTGGTATAGAAAAACATATATATGCACAAGCGACATATTTATCCTGACAGCTGTCAGGCAACGCAACGAATACAGCACTAGATCGGCTGTTGACAGGATTAGCTCGAGACTGAAGCGATCGCGAGCGAAGAAGCGCCCTTACAAGATCTACAAGATTTGTGAGGGAAAAAAATATATAGAAACAAACAGCAACTAACCGACTTATTTTACAAAACTGAACTCATTGGTTCTCCAGAGCTGGAAACTCTCGACTAGAACTGAAATCTCAGTATTGATGCCATATATGCCAGAACGATAGCTTCTCACCAGAACGAAAATTTCGCTTTCAGAAAAAGTCGTTTTCCTTAAGATTTTTTTTTAGCCTCGTAACAGGTGGTGAATTTGGGTGTTGTAAAATCAGGAACACATTTGGGATACTCTCGGAATACTCTGGAATACCCCTGGGACACCACAAATATTCAAATACCATCAAAAACATACGTTGGAAGAACGAAATATATATTCCAACTTGCTCGAGGAAAATCCTGTTATTTCTTATTAGACAATTTCTGTCACACTTTAGTAATAGGTTAGCTATTTTGGTATCCGGCTTCGTTTTTGGACTGTAACCAGCTTGCTATGGAGGCTCATTGGGGGAGGGGATGGGGGGGAAGTATCATTTGGAAATATCATTTGCATTTGAAAAGACTCGCCGCATTACTTCAATTGCAAGCTAGCGCGAAAATACGAACATGGCCTTACTTCGTGACAATTTCGCTGCAGCAAACTTTTCTTCTTTATTAGGTAAAAATTTGGCATATTACCTCGTGCGTAAATTTTCATGCACTTTCTGCAAAACCTGTACGGAAAGCAGTGTTTCTTCAAAGTTGAATGTGAAGAATTTAAGATCAAAGCAACAGCGCTAAAACTCCTACATTTTTGTTTTGATTTTCCAGACTAGGCTGAGTTTCAAGGCTTTATTGAACTGCGTGCCGTTTTTATTAACCTGAGCAGAAAGTCTTACTCCACGGCGGGCTGAAATCTACCAAACGGTTTGCCTCATCACAGAAGGACTTTCATTTCTGTGCAAGTCCGCATTGTTACCAGACTGCAGTTTCTTCACTGGACGTCACACAGGTTAGATTCTCAGTATATTTTTTGTTACCTTTTGTTACTAAGCAAGCTAACTAACTAAATCTCCAAGTTATATGCACCTTTCGTATTTAAAAGTAAGGAGCTGTCCTTTCCGAATTACACCGCAGTCTGAAGTTTTTCTTCGTGCTTTCTTCGGAGTACTGAAGTATTTATACATTCGGTTTTCGATGAAGATTTTGAATCGTCTAAGTTGTCGAACCGCGGTATATATAAAGGATAAGCTTTATTTTCTTTTTGTCTGACATTGCTTATGTCTATCCGCCGTTGTCTTCCACGCCTCGAGATGAATAGTGATTTTTGCTGTGTTTCTTACTAGATTTTCTTCGTAAATCTTTACCCTAAACATTACTGTAATTTATAAATACTTTAAAGCATGTGTCGTCTTTGTTCGCCATGCTGGTTGTCCGTGCTTAAATTTGCATCAAGCTGCTGTATCCGTCGATCATTTTCAATTTGACCGCTTCGTACTGAATTTCACTTTCACTTTCCTGAATTCGTTTAAAATAGATTGACGGGCTCTTAGCCAATGAGGTTCCGGATCTCTCTCAGGATTGAATAGTTCCTGTGAGTGCTTGTTGTCAGTGGTTTATTGAGCAGTATGTTAGTAAGGTAGCACGTATCGAATTGGCGAGTTTGTCGTTGTTTGATTGAAATATTTGAAGTGAACCTCAAACGCATGCTTTGAAGTGGGTAGATTGTACCGGATTTCATGGCCTGGACGTTTGTGAGAATTTGAAGCGCAAATGTGAGTATTTTTGATGGAAAAAGGTTAACAGGAGAACAGTGGCTAACCAAATTACTACTAGCCAATAAAAGGGTTCAAAAGAAGCGTAGCGACCATATAATTATATTTACGCACGTGCGTACCTCCACAAATCTGAAAAAAATATATTTAATTTATATTTTATCTCGTTCCATTTTACTCCTCGGAA